ATAAATAAATATACAATTAAAACCTATAGCAATTCACATTTACAAAAATAAAAGGGAAAAACGATTGTATCCTCAAATGATTGTAAATCTGAAGGCAGATAGAGAGACCTTAGTATATTAACATTGTTATATCAAGTATCAAGAAGTTGCCATTGATTAAAAAAACACAGAAAGGGCTCATGAACTGTATGAGATTGACATTACTTCAGGTCCCTTCCATGGAACAATGCCATCGTGTGGAATCCAGGTGTGTGGTCTATGTTGTGGTGCCTGCACTTTGTAACACCCTACCCCTCCCCCAATATTTGGATAGTCCCTACCCTGCTGGCCTTCCATAAGGCTCTAAAAACTTGCATTTTTCCCCCCAAGCAGGAAGTGGATGAGCCTTTCTCAAAAATTATTTACAACTCTGAACATCTTGTGTTTGGGGCCTCAGTTTGCCCTGTTATAATATCCTATTGTTGTGGTTTTATGTTTAGTGTTTATCTTTGTTCTTTTAATCCTATTTTAGCTACCCAGAGCCACGCTTTGTGAGTTGGGTGGTCATATAAATTGCACAGATGAACAAATAAATAAACATTTCATTGTCAATTTGAGTGGTGATTCTAGGCCCTCCCTCCCCAAATTCCACCTTGACTGTCTCATATCCTGTAGCATCGAAGTATATTTATGTAACCAATGAAGAAGAACAACACATCAACTGGTCACACTGGCTGGGATTTACAAGAGCCATCATCCATTGATTCTGGAGAGCATTAGACCATGCTCAAATTTCATTTTTATTATGTTTTTCCAGCTTACAAAGAGAAAATGAAGGAACTGTCTCTCCTTTCACTGATCTGTTCCTGTTTCCACACCCAGCCACATCCAAATACCATCTACCAGTATGGAGGTAAGTGGCACAGATGTGTATGACTTGCAAACTAGTGCCTTCTAGAGAACCTGGGACTACAGTACCCACAACTCCCCTTGCTAGGTCAAGGAGGATCAAAGGAGTGGAAGGCTGATATACCCTGTTGCATTTCAAAATGGACACATTCTCATCTTCCCTTCAAAATTGCTGGCTGAATCTTGTCTGCAGTCAGGACTGGGATTAACCCCATTTTCATCATTCTGTGACAATAGAAGGACCAAATGCTGCCTTGAGCATGTGAAGGGTCCATCCATCCAAGAGTGAAATCACAAATATTGCCTTGTGCTCATATGAAAGAGACCCCAGTTTGCAGGAAACGAAGGGACAGAAAAGTTTGTTCCACTGTCTATCAGATCCTATTCCCACTCCTGATCTAACCCCTCTGATTCCTTCAGGATTCGCCCATTTTGCAGTTTAGCAGATGGAGGGAACAGAATAGGAGGCTGTTCTTCTAGCCTGCTTTGAACAATGTCTTGTATTGGTTTGGTGAGGTTCCTACGGGGGGAAAAAGCTGAAATATATGGAAACAAAATAAGACAAGTTAAAAAAAAATCAATTCATGCAGTCACCTGCATATCATCAGGCAGTGAGTAATCGAGTGATGTAAATACACATGTGATTCAGCCCTTATTTTCTTTAAGTCCCAAGGAAGTCTTGGGACTTAAAGATTTAAATAAACTCTGAGATTTAAATAAACTCTGCTTAGAATTGCAGACTTATGTACTGCAGAACTGTGCCATCTCACTATAAATGGATCAAGCTTAATTTGGTTTGGTTCCAGCTTTGCATATTGTATGAACACAAACTATTGTGGTACTGTATGTGAATGGTGGGTTTTAGCTTATTGTGTTGTACAAACCCAACCTCTGTGGCTTATTCAACAAATCATGGTTAAAAATAAGCACGCTACCAAAACCAAGCCACTGCTTTATTGAGCCATGGTTTGTTAAATAGATTTCTGTGGTTCCCACCCTTATGACGTTCAGGAAACTGCTAAAAACCTGGTTGTTCTCCCAGGCCTTGGGACAAGGGGGTTACAGGACCCCCTTCAGTTACATTTGCCTCATGGCTAGGCGTATTGATCTTCCAGTCAGCCAGGATCTCTTTTTTAAAAAGTATTGTTTTTCTCCTTATCTATAAGCCCCCCAGAATTGTCATGGAGTCAGGCAGCCTCAACATTTGGATAACTAACTACAGTAGCTAAATAAAATAAGCCACAATTGGCTGGTCTTCCCCATGGTGATAGCTATAGGTTTAACAATCACAGTGGCAAGATTCAAAAACAAACTAGGGATTTTTACACAATATGTCAACACAACCATCGATTTACGATGGGAAGGAGAGAGGCCTAAATAAGAGATAAGAACAATACAATGAAGTGCCAGGTGACTGGAGGAGAGCAAATGTTGTTCCTATCTTCAAAAAAAGGGGAAAAGGCCAACCAGCTATAGACCAATCAGTCTGGATGTGGGAATTGAGAGCTAGGGTTTCCCACAGCAGGAACGCCAGTTATGTCAACAGCCAACTACCACCTCGTACAGTGCTGTCCACAGGGAGGACAAGGAGAGTCAGAGTGATGCAAGCATTGTCATGGCATCATAACGCACACCCCACCTCTTTTGTATGTGCATTGTATGCCCAAGAGAGCCGGAGCTCACAGTGACTCTGCAACACTGATTTCATCATTCTGATAAAACCAGCGGACCTCACTGGCCTAACATTAAGCCTGAGAAAGGCAAAGCAAAGTGTTGGTTAAGCTTTGGGAGAGGTGGAAAAAAACAGCATCGTATTTAAATTGCAGTGGGTGCTGAGGAATCTGCACTCTCATATTGACAGGAGGCAGTAACTGCTTAAGTGGCTTCGTTCTATTTTGCAATAAAGATTCTGATCTAGCTGTGCCTTGTGGAGCGTCTGAGTTCCTTCTGCTGAGTTCGGCAGGGACACTACTATCAGGGGTGAATCTAGACCAAATTGAAAGGAAACTGATTTGCAAGCATATTGAAATCAATTTAATAATTACCAGATGTCAGCAGAGATTTGTCAAGAACAAATCTTGCCAGAATAACCTTATGCCATTTTTTGACTGGATAGGTTCCTTTATAAATTGTAGGAGTGCTGTAAGAATGATACGTATACCAAGACATCAATAAAGCATCTGATGAAGTATCTCATGACATGCTAATTAGTAGGTGTTAAATGTGGACTGTTCAGCTGACAATAGAATGGATCCATAGCTAGCTTGAAAATCCTCAGAGAGTACTCATCAACGGTTCTTTATCAAATCGGAGAGGGGTATCAAGTGGATCTCCCACGGATCAGGATATGCCTCAATATTTTTGATAGAGACAGAAGGAATGCTTATCAAATTTGCAGATGATACAGCATTGGGTAGAATACCTGACAGAAATAAAACTCAAAATGATCTAGATAGGTTGAAGAAATTAGCAAAAAGTAACAGAATGTGAGAGAGACAAGTACTAACTCCCTCACTTAGGAAACAAAAATCAAGCATATAGATATAGGGTGGGGGATATTTGGTTTGGTGATTGTACTTGTGAAAAAGATTTTGGAATAGTTGGTTGTGAAAGCGTATGAGTCAGCAGTGTGATGTAGCTGAAAATTTAGGCTGCATCAACAGAAATATAATTTTCAAGTTGGGGGAACGGGTTCAGAGAAAGGTAATGAAGATGATCATGGGACTAGAAACTAAACCCTATGAGGAAAGATGGAAAAAGCTGGGTAATAGCCTTGAGAAAAAGATGACCGAGGATGGATATAAAGCACCCTTTAAATTCCAGAACAGATGCCATTCAGAAGGTCATGATCTGTTCTCTCTTGTTCCAGACTGTAGGACATGGAATAATGGATATAAATCACAGGAGGGCAAATACACATGTTCTTAGTGTGCTATCAAGGATTCCTGTTTCTTCTTCCTGTGCTAGTATATTTCCTTCCTTTCCACCCAACACACTAATTCAGCATGCCTGATAACTCCAAGACATGGACAGTGTGGATCGAGATAGGTTCTGCTCCCTTTCTCACCATGTTAAAACTTAGGGCCATCCGTTGAAACCCTATGTAGTTTTGGACCAATAAAATGATTTATTTATACAAGGTGTGGCTAAACTGTACAAACTCACTGCCATCAGAAGTTGTAATGGTCACTTTTTTTTTTTTTTTAAAGGACCGGATATATTCATGGAAGATCAGGCTATCTAGAGTGACTACTAGCCTGATGAGTATTTATTTATTTTATTTTGCTTATATGCCACCGATTCCCCAAAAGGCGGCTCCTGAAACATAAACAGCTTAATCCGAACATCAGCTATTAGGGAGAAATGCTGGAAAAGGGCCCTTAGCCACCTGTCCAGATTTGTGATAAACCTTGGTGGATTCAGCAAAGGGCATCTTATATTCTTAGCTGGGTATGAGCAATTTGTCAGTGTCCTGTCTGTAACAGTCAAAACTTCAAAATCCACTTTACAACATATCCATGTAGTTGGTAGCTTTTATTATCAGTACAAATGCCATCAGTTCCTATTTAGCATTCAGAACTAAGTTAACTATGCAACTAACTGAATCAGGTTAACTGTTGATGGAGAAAAGTGCATTCAAATACTTCAGTGGTGGATTCTTCACTGTATGGGAGAGAACCAAATGGACATGGTCAATAAAGAATGAATCTATTAATTAATAAGGACCAAAATGACGCAACAATACTTCCCATTGAATCTGACTCATAATCCTTTTCACTTGCTCAGATATGGAGGTCAAGCAATTGGACAAGAGGGCTTCTGGCCAAAGCTTTGAAGTGATTTTGAAGTCCCCCTCTGACTTGTCCCCTGAGAGCCCAATTCTCTCTTCTCCCCCCAAGAAGAGGGATCTGTCCCTGGAGGAGCTGCAGAAGAGACTGGAAGCTGCAGAAGAGAGAAGGAAGGTAACGGGATTGTCAACAGTTGTTCATGGACTGCTCACTGATCCTTCCCCAAATTTATCCTCAGAAAAAATTTACAGATGTCTTCCTATTTATACTTAAGCTAACCATAACAATTTCATAGTGATGTGTTGGAGAAAGAGGTATGATGGGCTTGAAAACCTTTTATTTTCATAGAATTTCAAGGCTACTGGCCAAGCATTGTTAATAGGGCTGAACCATGTGTGCAAGGGAGCCAAAGAAGAAGTTAAGCATTTTTCTCCAACCTGCCCATCTCCAGATGTGCTAAACTTGCAATTCCTGGGCATCTCAGCCAGTAGGGTCTGTGACTGAGAGTTTGGAGAACTGCATTTCCAACAGATCTCCCCAGCCCCAATTTGGGGGAGGCTAAATTAGCATGCAACAGATACCAGTAGAGCCACCCATCTCACAGGAGCGATAGAAAGTACTGTGATATAGGAGAGCCAGATGTTGTGATAAACTCCCAGGCTTAAAAAATCCATCAGAATGATGATGCCCAGATCCTCCTTGGGACAGTTTCACAGACCAATGGCTACTTAAGAGCTCTTTAATTGCTTCTGGTTTATGGGTTTTATTACAGAACCAGGAAGCTCAAGTCCTGAAGCAGCTTGCAGAGAAGCGAGAACATGAGAGGGAGGTGTTGCACAAGGCCCTGGAAGAAAACAACAACTTCAGCCGGCTGGCTGAGGAGAAGCTCAACTACAAGATGGAGCTAAGCAAGGAGATTCGTGAAGCTCATCTAGCTGCCTTGAGGGAGCGACTCCGTGAGAAGGCAAGTGCTGGAGCCTCCCCACTAACAAATCCCAACAGGTCAGGTTCCTGGCCCCACACTGCCCCAATTGTGGGACTCTGGGCAGTGCACACAAATAACAGCTGATTAAATCACAGCAATACACAGCTACCAAGACGAACACCTGCAGTCAGACAACTGGGGCCGAAAGCACAATAGAATAAACGCGTTAATCCCTTTGCAGGATGCAGGGAGGGGAGGCACGTTCCGGAAAAGGCCTGGCCCCTTGTCCGAGTCCCAGCTACTTCTCACAGAGCAGGGACTCTCAGCAAGCTCTCTTGAGATGTTTGGACTGGACAGGCAGGATCAGTTTTGGCCAGGCTGTGCCTGATGTAACCTGGTGCTCCGCTGCTCAGGGCTCTGAATGAGGCCTGGAAGCCTATCGATAAAATAACTTCGAGAGCTTTAAAGAATGTACCCAGCTCCAGTTATTTATTTTACTTTCATTATCAATACTTCTTTTATTACTCCCAACAGCTCAGCACAGTATAGACAGAAAAACCAGAGGATTAGAAGCAGAACAGTAATAATTAGCAATATATAATTGCAGCAACCAACATGGGTAGATAGCAAAATCAGGATCCCCCAATGTTCTCCTCATATCATGTGTGACAAGAGAGAAATTGAGTCTATTCCCATCCTCTGGGGGGTATCTTGTCCAATTTACTGGCACTGTAAAGATTGTCAGACAAAGCCCAGTTTTGCTGTAGCCACCAGGCAGCATTTAACCCGTCAGAGTTAAATGGGAGAGTGCCCAAGCTGAGATAGTCAGGAACAGATCTGCGATTTATTTTAAAGGACCAATGCAGGATCAGAATGGGAAAAAAAATTTTTTAAATCTTTTCTCAGCATTCCCCCCCCCCACAGATACTATGATGGAGCAAACAGCAGCTGTTTGAGAGGGGAGAGGACTTGGGGGGGAAAAACGCTGCCAAGGAAGAAAAGGCTATGAAATGCCTTTTCTCAGCCTGCTGACCTGGATATTCCCTTTCCCTGGCACATCTAGACTGTATATGACTAAACCATTAGGGCCGGGCTTTAAGATGCGAGAACGCGGTCTCTTTCCATCATGGCAGTTTAATAGAGCTATCCCTCTGGAGTCTCCTCAAAATCAGTGAGAAGTAAGTTGTGTGAAAGAAGTAAGAGAGTCCCTTGTTTGGGTGTAAATCTGTCTACATGTGGGGTACGGTAGAGGAAGGGGCTGCAAGTCTAGAACAGGTGTCCAAAACCTCCTTCATGGAGCAGCTGAAAATGATGGGGATTCCATCATTTTTATCATGTTCAGAGAACTGGGGAAAACTGCCCCAGAATGAAGCCAAGAGCTTCTCAACCATCCCCAAGGTGTTTTGTTGAACTGGAGCACAGAGGAGTCTCCTGACCCATTCGCTTGACTGCCCATCCCCCAAAAGGGGCATGAGCCCTCTAGGGATACCAGGAGGCATGGTTCCTGCCAACCACCCCCCAACCACAATTTTACACACATGGTTCCTTGGGTCTGGGAGTTATGGTTTGCAAGATGGACAATGCTGCACCTGATCTGCTTATCCCTGCAGACTACTGTACTGTGTTCACACCAATATCATGTCCATGTTTTTCAGGAACTGCACGCGGCTGAAGTGCGCAGAAACAAGGAACAACGGGAAGAGATTTCTGGATAAAAGGCTTTTCTACACAGCTAGCACCTGCTTCCTAATAACTAACAAACAAATCCCAACTTCTTTTTTGTCTAGACAGGGCAACATCTGGTTTCTCCATTTCTTCTGTCTCCCCGTTTTCCTGCCCTCTGGTGTACAAGCTACATATCTTTCTCCTCTCTGTATCTTTAACATGGAGGTTCATAGAGACCTCCCAGCAGAATAGCAATTAGTTTACCTTGAATATAGAATCCATAAACCAGCTTTTCTTTGGGCTGTTCAGAAAAAGCAAACATTTAACGCACAAGAACTAAGGTAACACTTGGAATTTGTTTGGCAACATTGCGAAGGGCTGCTCTCTATGAACCCTCATGGCTCTAATTATTCAGCCCCAGCCAAGGGACAGTATGAGACTGGCAAAAGAGGATCCTTCCCTATCAAGAATGGCAACAAGGCCAATCTCACACATAAGAAATACATCTTAAGTGCACTCTGCAAACGGAAAAGCAACTTTCTGTTTGCAAGCACGTGTATTGTACGCATGCATCCGAACCACAATTTGCTGTGGCTTCTTCCTTCAGACCCCCACCTTGGTCTGCCTGTATATGGGTAAAAAAAGAGGCCGCTGCTTTCTTGGTGGTGAAAGTTATGACTGGATAGTTGAGAGACTTGAGTAAAAGACATCTCCTGCAGCTTTGTTTTTGCTTTCTTGATTGATTTACAGGTTATGGTAGGTTTATTTAAGAGGCTTGAGTTTGAAGAGCACATTAAAAAAGCAAGAGAGCAGACATGATCTGTTGCCCTAATCAGCCTCAGACCTAATCAGGCTTTTAGACCGAATGGTACTTTATTTTCAGAAGCTCTCTCTCCAGGTTTAAGGATCATGGGACAGCAGAGTCATAACATATGGCATGTGGTCACTGGCATCATGTGCCTGGCTAGACAGCAACCAACAAGATCTTAGCTAAACATTATTCCTGGAGACGGTAAGCTAAGTTCTCTCTAAAGATGGAAGGGTCTTGTCAGAAGCACTGCCTGGTTTTTTTGTAGAAGGTCCCCTGTAGTAAAGAATATAAGAATGGGATAATTTCAGCTTCAATTAAGTACAGTGGGAGGCTGCCTCAAATAAAGGATTGAGAAACATAAAGAAACGGGTGAAGTTGCAGAAGTAATGGAATGCTAAAGTGAGTGAATGTTTTGACTGCAATACTGTCTCCCTATCAAAGGTAGGGTGTAATTTTGGCACATGTAATTTTGAATAGTTGGAAAAACTGTAAGAGCTGATTTTCCCTTTATTTTTTCAAACTGGATCAGGCAGGTACCCCATTTTGAATGGCAAAATACATGCCAGCATCTATCAAGTGTGACTCTTACTTTTTTCATTTATAGTTCATCTTTCAATTTGCAGCTTACTTTAAAAAAAACATCAAGAGAGTAAAAGGCTTATTTAAATTGCAGGAAAGCAAACAAGAAGCCAGGAAAAACAAAAGATGATCATCCCAGCATTATCAGTTCCCAAATGTCTGATGAGAAAATAGGCCTTATGAAGGCACGCTGAAAGAGCTGAGCTGTTTTAATGTGCAGACGTTTCTAAATTTGCTGCAGCGTATAATTCAGCAAAAAGGACCCATCAAATATCAGAGTGAGTGCCATTTCCAACTGACCTTCCCAGAACTTGAATCATGACATTTTAACCAAAATATATAAAGTGGAATTTTTGCACCAGCTCTTCTAGGGACTCGGTATGTGTTGGGTGAAGTGGGAGAGATCTAGTGTCAATTTACTACTCTAGCAAGTTGTTCTCTGAGTGGTGTTGGCAAGCTGCTCAGCCCGGGCTGCTGGATTGCTGCGAGACTAGAACCGTCAAGCTCTGTGGTCAGTGAATGAAGATGTAGGAATTGTAATAATATAGGCTGACTTGCATCGTTGTCATCAACATCACCACCATCACCCAGGGCAAAATCTGATCTGGGATGAGATTCATTTTAGTACCAAAGATCATATGAACAGTCCTCTTGGATCAGGCCAAGTCTCATCTTAATCCAGCATTATCTTTTTCCCAGACGTTTCTGGGATGTTCACAAGGAGATGGAAACTGAATTTCTCCCCTAGCTGGGTCCCTTCCAATTGGTATTTCGAGGCAGGCTGCCTCTAACCTAGCGATAACAAAATCTTCAAGATCAAGACCTCTTAATAGACTAGTCCTCTATTAATTTATTCCATTCTCTTTCAAAGCCATCCAAGTCAGAGGCCATCTCCATATCTTGTGGTAATGAATTCAACAGATTAATTATGTACTGTGGTTGGCAAAAGGCAGCTTACTTTTCTATTTCCTGACCCTGTATTTAAGAAGTTAAAAGTAATTCCTACTGAGCTCAAATATTACTTCATTATATTAGAGTTAATATTAAATATTAATAGGGTTAATGTGTGTCCATAGGTTGCAGTCTCAGTATTCCCACTTGAAGTCTACAGATCACGTTTCATTTTCTAAGCCAAATGATTTTGGTAAGTCAGGAACCAAGGTCTACATTTCTGCAAAAGTGCCATCTTTCAATTACGTTGCACAGAACAGAAACCCCACCTCCCGTGAAAAGAAGAGTGAGAGAGAGAGAGAATATGTGAGTTTATGGCACCAGTGTCCTGAGGGGAAGAAAGAGACCAACATAGGTTTTGATATTGCTGTGCTAAACAAGGACATTGGTTAGACTTATTAATGCTGGTGACATTTTGTCCCCCCCCACCCCAATTTCTGTGATTTATGCTTCTCTTCCTTGTGAATAACCTATGCAAATCCAACATTAGAGTTTTGGGTCGAGAGTCAGCAGTAAAGCAAATAATCTCAATGCAGCATCAGAACCCTAGATTTGGATGACTCTCAAGGCAGGGTTCAAACTATTCCAGCGTGGAAAGCCTGGAGACTTCTGCCTACCACTGTCAGAAATATTAGGGTAGATGAACCAGGGCTGAATTGGAGTAAAGCAGCTTCCCGTCTTCTTCTGCAAGTTTTTCCAGAAAACTGGCAGGAAGATGAATCCATATTCTCCAAGCCATGCATGGGTTCCTGAAGAGCCATCCATCATAAATCCTAGCTTATTGTATAGTACAGGCTTTATATTGTATAAAATAGTATTTATGGCTATACGAAAGTGAGATGTTATCTGAGCTTCATGGCCAACAATTCAAAGGAATTCCAAAGACCCTAGTTAGTGCGTGGGTGGGGGGAGGTTATAATGTAACATAACTGCAGCCAACTTAGTTGATATAAGATGAAATTGTCTTGGGACCCTCTTGAAATAAAAATGAAATTTACAGTCAAATGATTAAGCTTAACAATGCTTTACTTTCCTTCCACTTTCAAATCCCTTAATAACATTACTGTCCTTTTCATCTACTACTTGGGGATGATATCAAGAAAATTTTCCTGCCTCTGAAGGGGCTGGGTTCACTTTTGAGACAGTCCTCAACAGTGCAACAAACAGTAAATGACCCCTTCATTTCTTTTATTAATGGAGCCAAGAATAGGACAAACCCCAGAAAAATCTTAGCTGAAGATCTGCCTCCTGCAAATTTCAACAGGATTTTCCTGTATAATCAAGTGGTACCCAATTCCTTAATATATTGTTGTGATGGCTAGCTGATATTTCTTTAGTTATGTATTTATTTCTAAAAATGATCAGTGGCCCTATAGCAGCAACTCTCAGGGTGAGATACACTAAATATAGCTAAAATATTTTTTAAAAATTAAAAAGCTAATTAACAGCCACTGAACAACAGACATGTAAATACTGCCTACATGAAAGGCTGTACTTAAGACTACTGTGGTGACCTCTTTCAAGTAGCAGTTTCAATAAAGATTTTGCACTGTAATGTTGTTCTCTCCCATAATAAACTGATCCCAGTTGATAAAATAGGAAATAAACTCCAAAACATGACTGGTTCACTAGGCCCATGTTGGAGCTATATTGGCCACAGATGCCAAAATAGCTGCAAGGTCTCAATGTATTATTTACTTATTATTATTCTTTATTTATTCATTTATTGAATTTGCTGCAGGTCTGAATTTGAAATACAAAATTATACCCCAGTGCCGACTTCCTGACTAGTGTACATGTATTCTCCCCTTGAGTAACCATTACCCAGTCTTAGTCTGGCATTTCCGTGTTTTGTTTTGTTCTATGTTCTCCTGGAACTCTAAAGCTTCCTGTCTTTATAGCCTCTGATCAGATCTCTGTTGTGCCTTTTCAGGCACCAGGATATGGCATTTCAAGAACCATGCTGCCATTTTGTAAGTACTAGTGATGTTCATAACATAACTTTGGGGATGCTTGTGAATTCTCGGTCTTCTCTAGGTTTCACAGCCTGTGCCTCTTGTGTGGGGCAGGAATTCTTATCTTTGGAATTCAGAAATGCAACCAACATCTGTCAAAAAAGGTTGTTTTGGATCATGCTGATGAAGGGCGAGGGACATTAGGTATGTCTCATGGAGAGTATGTTTATACAGCCACATCAGAGCAGTTGCTCTTCTTAGACTGATGGAAAAAGTATAGTCTGGTTTCAGAAACTGAAATAGTCTCTGGGACTGATGGGCAAGAAGTGAAGTATTGTATCACGGAAAGAACGTTCAGGAAATCTTTGAAGAAAGCGGGTAATCCCCAAGGATTACCTGTAGTATATAGGAAGGGTGAAACATACAAACATTCAATTAGTTACACAAAGGTGAATGTTCTACCCACTGAACCCATCAAAAAGAGCTGGAAGTCAGGGGCACTTATTTACTTTCCCCAATATATATCTAGCCTGGCAGTAATTAAGAAGTCCCGAGCAAGCGTTCTAGCTTCATATCCAAAGAAAAGGGCCATTGTGCTGCAAAGAATGTTTAGTTAAATTAGAAAAAAGAGAGAGCCACTGGAGGGAGGCATCAGTCAGAGTTGAGAGGAAATGTGCCTGGGGACAGGATAGAAGAACGGAGTTCAAAAGTTCTAGCTAACAAATCAGTTCTAAAGAGCAATCATTGGTGAGAAGCACCGGCATATAATACAGAATTGTCTCACCCATGTTTGATACATTTAAAATGCTTACATAGGGTTAAATAAATTCTAAGGAAAAATAGAATTGCTTGTAAAAAAGTGGTTGCTTGTATTCCCCAGGCAGGACCTGTGAAAATGTCTGCAGGATGATGATATCTTAGTTGCTGTGGTGCGGTGAGCTTGTGTGGTGTGTAATTCTGACTTGCTGTAAATTTAGGTTTTAGTATTCTGATTCTAACAATTGATGTTTATTTCAATGTTGACAACAACTGGAAATGCCCTACTCGGGAGTGCAGGCAAAACAGTGCCACATTCCTGCTTCTAGTTATCCATTTGGGGTCAGGTGCGTGGTGAATTAGGCAGAAAGTTGGAGGCTAGTTTTCAGTAAGATGAGAGACCTGAGCTCAAGCTGTCCCCCTCCAGATTGCTGGGAAGGAAGAGAAAGCTGTTTGGTTAATGTTTTAAAGAATATTTATTTAATCTGAACCAACATTTAAACATTTTGGTACGTGTTTGAATTGTATTGGCAGAACCCACTTCAGAAGTAAGAAAGGACCCAGCCTTCACACAACATTGCTAACATTGGTTAAGGTTAATTTTAGTTATAATTGATTTTAATGTTGTGTTTCTGTGTCTTAGCATGTTGGGGAAATGCAGAGTATTTGATTGGTTTAGAGTAGAGCTACCAGATCTGGATGCCAAAAATCTAGGCAACCACTAAGTGGTAGTAAAAGAGACTTTTTACTATCAATGATAGTGGTTCCCTGGGTTTTTGCAACCCTAGTTTATGGTTCAAGGTATTGTGAAAACTCAGAAAATGGGTTAGTTCAGTAAACTGTGTCCTGAAAAACAGCCCCATGATGTTGCTTGATGATGGTGTTCACACAATACACTTAGCTTTTCTGTGCCAGCACTGCTGGGTGCCAGCCAACGAGACAGGAAGCTGGCTGCCTGCCATCATCCAGTGACAGGCAAAGGTCAGGCAGACCCTTTTTAGAAGGTCTTTTTACCAGTATCTTAAGACAGCAACTGCAGGTGCCGTCAACAGGGTTAGCACAGGCTGAGACCAGGAATCCAATCAGCAAGTGACGAGTCCAAGGGAAAAGGCAGGAGACGCGATGAGGTGGAATCCAGAGTTCTAAGCAGGGCAGAGCAAGATAGACAGCTCAGAAAGTTTGTTCTCATCTCCCAGGGAGCGAGGCCGATAAATCAGCCATGCTGAGCCTCTACCCCATACAGAGTGGTGGCCCTTGACTCCCCAGCATTGGTTCTTTGGTTCTGTGTCTTGGGAGGTTTCTCAGATCTGAGGAGTTCTGCTCCCTTTTGTTGTTGAACCTTTATCGCGTGCCTCTGTTTAGAACTGGGTGGCTGGACTTGAGGGTCTGAGAAGCTGTTGGTGTGGACAGGCAAGGGGTCCTGGGGGCTTGCTGGATCTGCCTCAAGCAGAGTGGAGTCATGGCTTCACCGCGACTGGAATCACCTGCACCAAGTCTATTGTCCCTAGATGCCCTGGCGCTATTTCTTCCCCATCCTCCTCATCTGAGGATATGTCCAGCAGGCCCATAACATTAACCAGACAGTTACAAACCTAGCAGCTGTGTTTGCACAACATGTGAAGCTTGGTTAGGGGTTTTTTGTGTGTATGTGTGTGAGTGCACTGTGTGCTTAGCATGTTGTGCAAACCCATCTCCTTTAATTAGCTTGGAGTTCAGTGTACTTTCCAATGCCAGAAAATGGGTTAATTTAGTAAGTAGGTTAACCATGTTTGTGAAAATAGTCAAAGAATGGGAAAAATCTGAAGGAACAACACACAAAGAAAGAGAGGGAATTCAACAACCGGTCAGGCAGAAACTGAATAATCTCTTCAAAGGATGGAAGGAGAAAGGCTGAGACATTTTGAAAGATCTCACTCCACCTAGCCTCCTGCCACAAAGATAAATTTAGATGAGCTAATCTGTTTCCTAGGATATCAGAGCAAGGTGCCGTTTTAATGACAGGATATCCAGCTCTGTGGGGGCTTTCTCGTCTAATTCCAGATGATATCTGGAGGCACTGATGTGCAAAATTATGGGAAGATGTAGAGCCCAGATTAATGTATGACTCTTCCAATGTACGTCTTATGGAGTTCAATGGGACTGAGTATAGGATTACAGACTAAAGGGGCTGATTTACATGTCTCTGCTTTTGCTACTCAATTGGGTGGCCACTAAACGGGGAACTGACTCCACTGAAAAGCACTTAAATGTCATGGAAATGTTCCTGCTGTTAGAGCTAAGGTTGTGCATACAGAAGTCACAGTACTGTGTTTCATTCAAAGCAGTAACAAGGATGGGTGGATCAGCCTTCAGGCATCCTTCTCCTACCCAATCACTTTGAAATACATCGGATTAGACCCTTAATCATCCCCAGTGTCTCTGCCAACTGAAAGTGATGGGCTTTCTAGTCAAAAACATCTGATGGCTACGAGGTTGCAGAAGACTCTCTTTGGCAACCAGTGAATTCTGCCATGTAGTGTTTAGGTATAGAGAATGAACTCTTATTCTTTCATCTTAATTTTTGAGTGCTTCTAAGACAGGAAGTATATGCAAGCAAAAATTAGCTCAAAATATGCTGAAGTTGTCAATTAAACACTAGAGGCATTTTATCAGATAGACTTTTTCATCAGTCACTGCGATCCCTAATGCAAATAAAAGTATTCCAGGAGAATAGCTGGATACAACAGAAAGGCCCAGAAATAAGTCCAGTATCAATGTGTGTGTTGAAGAAAATAGGCTTTTCCATATAATAGGGTATAATGTGTGCTTGTAAGTGCAAATCAATTATGGGAAAATACACAAATGAAAAATGCACTTGAAATAATGATTTTAAAAATCCAGATACACAAACCCAGTTAAATTTATATCAGTGTACTTCCATCCAAAGTCTATTGTTTGCTATGTTATACATTCTACACTAATAACCAATTCATTTTCCCAATGAAAATATCACCCACACAAAATAGAGAAGCCTCAGTAATCTTAAGAAAAACCATGATTTTTTTTAAAACACAGACAATCTTTAGGGGGAAAAATCCAAATAAAGCAAAATTCTAAACTGGCCCAGGAGGACTAACCAAGCATATGGACAGGTGGGGGCAGGGCAGAGAAATAGGAAAGTGGGACAAGAAATGGGATTCCTGCAGAAGAGCACAGCACACCGTTTTGCAGATCCAAGCCAATAATTTTCTTGTGATCCACTGAATTTTATTTTTAGTCTCTGCTAAAACAAACCTCTGCAACACAGGTTACTAGTGGTAGGCCTTTCACTTTGGGAGATTACGTGCAAAATTATTACAACAAATAGCTAAAATTAGACATTTGCTAAAATTACTTTTAAGTACAAGAGAGGAAGGAAGTATGAGGCCCTAGGAACTGAAAACTTTGGGGGCTGTTCCGCCTTCATATCTTAATTTTGGAAGTCTGTTCTTTGTATGGAAATAAGAACTTTGGAGTTAACTATAACTTTTTGGCATTATTAAGCCCAAGAGAAGGTAACAATAGCCTGCCTTGTGTTAATGGACTACATCTCACACCTATTTTAAGAAAGCAACAGATCTGCCTGGGTTTTTAAAAAAAATCAAACCAGATTGTCAAATCTTAAGTCCTCTGATTCAAAGTCTGTTGATACATAAATTGGTTTTCTTTTTGGATGGTGTTATATTGCTGCGTTGTGAAACAAACCCTAGTGTTAAGAATAAATGTATGTCCTCTCTCAGTGCACAGTGGCTATTATCTGAGCAGTGCATTCAATACCTCTACAATGGTTCTTGCTGCTGCTCGGTTAATATCTTCCATTAACTGTAGATATCTTCTTGGTCGCCTGACGCTACTGCCTCCGTGCCTCCTAAGCCTATGTTGCAACGTGTGGTTATGTGGCTGCGTGTATTATATAGTTGCCAACTGTGACATCATAAAAGTGCATGTAGTGAAAACCACACATATGCACACAAAATCCCTGGATGGCTGAGGCAAGGAATGCTTGTTTATGGTGCTACTGATATTACTCCACAGCAGATTTTGCATTAAGAACCAGTAATAGCCTATACGGACTGATCAATGTAGAACATTGGCAATGGCCATGATTGGGCTTCTTCAAACCGTAACTGACATAGTGCAATGGAAAGAGAGCAGTGACCATTGAATGCCAGAGAGAAGACTGATATCTGGGGAAAAAAAAGGATTCAAGGATGCTGGAATGTATATTCTATTAGATAGGTGGAACAGCTCTCATCACAACCTTCTGCTGTTAAGACTGCAATCCCTGGAAGTATCTTGTTAGAACTAAAGGGACAAAGAAAAATGTGTCAGAATTTCAGCAGCAAAGTGTGCCACTCCTTCATATGTAAAATGGAACTCTTTTCTCTTTTACAGGTGTATTCTAAATGTTCCACTATGAGAATCACTATTAAAAGTTGTATTACTTATAATGGTAACAAGGGTTGTCTCCCTGCAGCACAAGCTCTGCTTACAGGAAGTCTTCAAAATACCTGTGCAGCAAACTTAACTTTTATGGTGTTTCATTCTCCCAAGGACCGTCCTCCTGTTTTCTCCTGAAGTCTAGTTAAATGTTATTGGCCTTGCATAAAAGTCACTTCTTAGGGTGCAGTTTGTGCTGTTTTTGTCTTTCCAAAGACGCAGAAAAGTAAGAAAGTGTAATGGTGTCATGAATGGATTTTTCATACTTGAGCCTAACCTGATTCCTTTAATTTCCCATGCATTTCATTGTCAACTTGAGGTTGTTGTTGTGCAAAAGAAGTGATTAATGAGGAAAAAAAAGAAATAAACTTGGTATGAAACCACAACTCACCATTTTTGTTCATCTATTGAAAGTTAGTTTTACTATGGTGGTTTTCAAGTGGTTTTATGGGAAACCCAGAGATAACTAAAAAGACAGCTGCCACAAATCTGGGGAGGCAAGAACTTTATCTCTTAATGGATTCTCTCTGTTTTATAAACATTCCCTAAAAGTTTTTTTGATAATCTGATAGACAGAAGACACCCAGTCAGGTTATGTGGCCATATATAATGTAATCTGTTCAAATACTTAGAGGGTTTATTTATCAAATTTCTCCCTTGCCCATCTCCCCCCCAATGGGGGACTCTTGAGTTCTCCACCCTTCCCGTCAGCCCAATTGTGAGAAGGGGAAAAAAGACAAATGCTTTAGGTTTACTTGCCCCAAATCCTACTAGCATAATTTTTTAAAATACGAGTTTAATATTATCAGAACACCAGTTCTGATCATTTGCTGTAATGGTTAAGGTGCTGGACTAGAAACCAGGAGACTGTGAATTCTCACTCTTCCTTAGGGGTGCAAGCTGGATAAGTGACTTCTCTCTCAGCCCAACCCACCTCACAGGGTTGTTGTTGTAGGGAAAACAGAAGGTGAGAGTGGGAGCATTTCATATACTGCCCTAACTGGTACAAAGGCACTAATTGCACTAGTATAATAATCATTTGAGTTGAAGTTTGTCTTTCAATGCACATGCAGCATTTCTTACAAAGAAGTCTGAGAAAATTTGAGAATTCTCGGCTGGGTATTATCACAAAAAGAAATTCAGTACATTTCACATATTATTTGGGATTTTGATTCCTGTGTCAGATGCTCCCTCACCCAGTACAACTACTGTTTTGCCCAATGGTGCAGTGGAACTCCATTTCTGATCATCCAGTCAGCAGAAAATTCTTCCCAAAAGATTCTGAACAGTTTCACAATTTAAGATATCCTGAAGGAGGAGGGGCTTTTTTTCCTAATTAACTACAGTTCAGAAAGTGGGAAAGGGAAGACAAGTATTTTACGTGACCTCATCAGAAAGGAAAAAGAATAATGTAGATACTCTACAGTTACTTTTGTCTTGTTCAACCCATACAACTTAGAATGGTGTCTTAACAGAGCAAAATTAGGCTATGTCTACTTAGGCTTATTAGGCTATGTCTACTTAGAGAAAAAGAAAGTCCAAATTCCTTGCAGGTTTCTTGACAATAGTACAGAAGAGTCAGACACTGCCTTCTTCTCAGATGTTCTTCCAACTTCCCAGGCTACCCTACAGCCCTGGGATTTCCTTGTGGCCTCCCATCCACGTACTTACCAGACAAGATGCTGCCACCTGCTACTACTTAGAATGTCCCAAGTACTTCAAATGCCCCAACAAATTCAATGGGAATTACACCTAGAAGGCAGGTTAATGATTATAGCCAATGAAAATCCATCTCCCGTAATTTGAAAAAGGCCGGAATTCAGCGATAGAGCATACGGTATGCTTTGCAAGAAAAAGACCAGAAGTTTAGCATCAACCCAATTATAAGCAGTGCGAGGCCCAAATCAAACAATGAAAACAGCTACACCAGTGTCTAGTTTCTGATGTAGGTTTAGGGAAAGTGTAAATCACCATCCTTGATAAGCATATGGGGAAAAAAATAGCTTTAGCATTAGACACAGCAGTCATGACTCCATCTAGGTCACTTTGGTTCTAAATTAATCTTTAATAGTCTTGCTATATTACCAAAATGCTGCAGTATCAGCCTTTGACTATGGACATTTTTTTTGATATGCTTGACATTTTGGGGGGGAAAAAAAGGGCCAGAGAAAATACTTCAGTTCCTGCAACCCTGTCACCACTAAGGCCCATTTCCCATCTTTTAAGTACATGGGTATGTGTATAAGTATCTATGTATTTAGGATAGCTTCAATGCCATTGATTCCCCAAAGCTCTGATTAACTTACATCCACCAATAATATAGGATTAAAAGCATAGAAAGAATATAGCATAAGCACCATCCACCAGAGGGGCTACCCAAAGTGGGCAGGATAATCCTCATTGTCTCCAAATGCTTTCCTGAAAGGGTCAGTCTTCAGAAGCCCAGCAGGTGGTGCAGATTCCTGGGGACAAGCTATTCCACAGAACACATTTGGGGCGGGGGGGGGGGGCGATTGCCCAGGTCCCTCTAAATGGCATTCCCTTGGAAGAGGGGGTCTTCACAAGGCTCCTCTCTGGGTTCTCACCAGATGGGCAGACTCCACCCAACGGAGAGTTGACATGGAGTTAAGCTGTTGAGGGTCCAGCCAAGAAAAGTCTTCTACAAAGGATCATCAGCTGTTTTTCTCTTGACTAAAATACATTGAAAGGTCTGCCTTGTTCATTTAGCTGAAGAACTATGTACTTCTGCCTGAAATACCTAGTAAGAAAAGATGAGAAAGAGGACTTTCAAGGACAGAGAGATCACGCCCAAGAGACATCAAATATTCAGTACAAAACTAAAATTACAAAAACAATGATTAATGAAGGGAAATGGGATTTAAAAGGTCACATACCTAGCACGATCAGATTGCTTAATGGCTCTCCTGCTGGTAGGAACAAAGATACTGGGAGAGAATGCTGATGCTTGCTTATTTCCTTGACTCTCAGAAGGAATTCCCAGACTTGTAAGTATTTTTCTATGAAATCTGTTACTCTTTTATCTTGATCCAGCAATTACAATGCAACTTAGAAGAAGTTTCCAGAACCCTGAGGTCACTGGCTTTACTCCCTATTGTGGCCAGAATTTGCTGAGCCCAAGGGATCACTGAGTGCCTGGCTGCCTGACAGGAGCAACAGGGTGGGAAGTCTTGGTTGGAGAAAATGGGTTCGGCACATGGATCAGCCCAAGGAAAGGAGGGAGAAAAAGGTCCATATTTGCCCACCCTACCACAAGGATTTCTCTGCTAGACAAAGAATGGGAAAGAGAGCAAGCAAGCAAGAGCTCTCCGCTTGGTGAAGGAAGGGAGGGAGGGAGGGAATGAAAAAAAAATCAAAGAAAAGAAAGACCTCTCTGCTCAACAAGGAGAGAGAAGAAAAAGAAAAATAGCTCTTAAAGGGCAAGTTTCTTAGATTATGCTCTCCTAGATATAAATCTTGAAAAAATTACATATGAATCCAGTAATAAAAACAATTCGTTCTCTGGTAAATGCAAAATGCTGCCAACTAAGTGATGACGGTTCCATTTCACAGCAAAGTACAGCAAATAACGATATTCTTTAAATATTTTTCATTTTTTGACTCACTAGGGAATTTTTGTATAGAAAGACTTGAGAACTGAAGCCCTTGGGCTAAGGAACAAGTGAGGCCCTTGGGATGATCTGAATTTGAGACCCCAGCCTGGTGCATAGGTGCCAGTTTTACTAGAGGAGTAATCCATGCTGAAAATAGCATTTTTACCTGTGCAAACCTTGAGCCAAACTGAAGGTTTTAATGGCCTTCCAGGAGGCTAAGAGGGTGGGGGTCTGCCAGATTGCTGGGGGGGGGTATATTCCATAAGGTAGGGGCAGCCATGGAAAAGACAGGGTGCCTAGGTCCCACTAGATGGCAATGTTTCAGGGAAGGGACCTGGAGCGTCCCCATCCTATCCGATATAGTGGGACAGGAAGATACCCTCAGGGAGAGGTGGTCCCGCAAGTAACCTGGCCCTGTGCCATGTAGGGCTTTAAAGACGATAACCAGCATAAGCTGATCTTGACATTCACCCTAAAGCAGACAATTGTGTATTCTCTAGATGTTTTGGGCTGCAATTCCTAGAATTTCTGATTGCAGACCATGCTGACTGAGGCTGGTAGAAGCTGCGGTTCATAATATCAGGACTGTACAGCATCAGGTTATTACCTTTCCCCAAGTCTGGACAAGCTTTTTAGCATGTCCGTTGCAAGGAAACCTAATCCCCAATAAAAGTATAAACTTAGATATTTATGCAAATGCCA